TTTTTTTTCACGGGCCAGCGAGTTAATCGCGGCTCGTGAAGGTGCAACCCGCGAAGCTCGGGGATAACACCTCCTTGACCCTCGAACCGCCTGTTCGGGTCACTGGTCGGCTCGTGGTCTCGGGTCGATCCGGGCCGATTTTCACAGGTTTGGCCGGCCCGTCCGTCTTGACACCTCTAATATAACTTGGTGAGTTCAAAATGAATGCAAGAAGATTTTTTTATAACTTAGAACATCATCTGTTCTGCACTCCATCCTCGTTAAGATATATATATTCATTAATAAATGGAAATTATAGTTTCTTTTTCAAGAAGAAAGGCGTAGATAACGCATTGAAGTCTTACAGGCCTAATTCAAAGTGTAATTACGCCGACCCGTGAGATACCTACCTCTAAATATTACAGGTAGAATTTGGATCTGTGCTTTTGAACAAACAGTCAGCCTCTTTATAGAATAAATCATATTAGTGTACTTCATATTGCAAATTGATTCTTGCTTTCGTCGACTTTTTAAGCTAAGAATATATTTTGATTCATAGTATTTGTGATTTTGTGTATATATACAGGTACAATACCAGTAAAACTTCTCTTGCAGCTTTCAACAGCACTCCAAAAGGGTGGACTATGTAACAGGAATGGGACTTTCTTTTACAAGGAACATCTGAAGAAAAGCAACATTCCTGTTTTGGCACTTGCTGGAGATCAAGACCTCATTTGTCCTCCTGAAGCTGTATATGGTAAAGTGCCATTTCAACTATACATGGTTCATTTTTGTTGCACTGTTTTATTTATTTGCCTTTTTTTTTTTTTGTTGGACAAAATGGAGTAGAAACAGTCAAGATGATTCCCAAGCATTTGGCTTCATTCAAAGTTTTTGGAGAACCAAGAGGTCCACACTACGCTCACTATGATATAGTAGGAGGTCGTTTGGTATGTTTTGATCATAAATATTTCATGTTGGTTATGCATTGGCCGCTGAATTTCATTTTGTATCAATTGAACTGAACTTAAACCTTTATCATAATTTTGTTGTTCATCTGATTGCAGGCTTCACATCATGTGTACCCGTTCGTGGTTGAATTTCTATCTCATCATGATCAGGCTTGAACTTATTCCTACGTCATGATCAAGTGTACGCTAAGTGCATACAGTTCCATGCTTCTAACCTCATATCATATTACACTTATATTTACACATTTGAAACATAAATGACTCAAAATTTAATGAGAACAGAGCTCTGTTTGTTGTTGTTGAACTCTTAGAGAAGCTTTCTTCATTTATTCATGGGATTTGACTTCTATCTTTAACCCCATATCATGTATAGCACTTTCATCCTAGTTCTTATACATTTGAAATGTAAACGACCCGAAATTTAATGAGAACCAAACTCAATTTGTTTGAAAGTCAAGTTTTCTTCATATATTTCTGAGATTTGACTTCCCAGATACGCATCAAAATTACACTATTTTTTCGATATTTATTTTCTTCGCATTTTTTGTCCTGCTAGTGTCTCTGTCAAATTCTAGTTTCTCTTGGAAATGAAATGTTTGATATACAAATGTTCAAGAATTCACCTTGCTTTTCTTCATCTTTGTTCATTAGATCAAATGACACTACAAAATTAAAAGGTTGAGACTTTGCTGTCAAGAAAAATGGGTTGAGGACCAAATTGTGACAAGGTCCATTAGTTGAGGATTAATGGTACAATTTTTTCCTTTATTCTAATATGATTGGGAGATAAAAATCCAAGGGTTGATCCATTTATACATAATGGTTTGTACATAATGGATTACCCCCTCTCACATAATGTGCGGGGCCCGAGTATATTTAAAAATTTCGACGACGTGGTCCACATTCCCATTGTGAGTAGTAAGTAAAAGATTCGGTAAAAAAATTCGTTACATGTAGCATGATCCAAAATTCAATACTATATCTGTAACCAATCCATTCGTTGTAACAAAAATTAGGTGAAAATGAACATTCTCCAAAAAAAAAAAAAATCATTGAAATTTCAGGTTATGAGTATGAAATTTCTTCACTTCGCAGCAATTTTCATGAGGAACAAAATTAATAAAATTTATCTTCTCTATTCTAAGGCAAAACAATGCAGCATACAATACATAATTTTCACACTAAAGACAAATGCTTTGACCAACCTTAATAACACAACAAAAGAAAATATATATTCTGCAAGCCGAAGAAGAAGAAAGAAATAGATATTGCAAATCAGGTGTAATCGTATAGATATAACAAAGCAAGATCTTTGATTATTGAAACTATAATCAGCTTATAATGATCCCGACCGGAGAACTTTCGATCCACAACTCATCGGCCAAACAAGAACCGGTACGGTTTGATTAAGCAAACTTACATATTGAAATGCAAAATCAAAGAATTTACCTTTCTATAAAGGATGATGAAATCCTCATTAGAATAAAAATAAAAATAAAGAAGAATGATATATGAGAAATGCAAGTATTATATGGTTTAGGTTTGAGGCTTAGCTGGTTTTTTGCATATAGGGCAAATATTTTTCTGCACAAGCCACTGCTTTATGCAGTGAATGTGATAGAAGTGTCCACAATTCAGCTTCCCGGTTTCACCATCAGTCTCATATTCCTCCTGACAAGAAAAAATGAGGAAAGAAAATTATAAATAATACAATGAAAATGGTGACGTGAATCATGACGAGGGCGGGCGCACGTGGTCCGATTAAAAAAGAGGAGAAAAAAGAACAGGGAAATGGGAAAAATTCTTGAGATGAATTTTGTAAGATGGACCTGACATATACTGCATTTCCTTTCTGTTTCTGTGAATTTTGATGACAAATTATCCAACATTGGAACCTTATTCCTCCTCAAACAGCAGGATATCTCATCCTCCTTCAGTCCAGTGCTCACGTGCCCAATTCTGTCACCGAGTTGCAGTAATTCCTGTTTGTTTCACCAAAATAACGCCATTTAAAACTAGCATATTTGGTAAGGTCGTGTCTATTACTGCAGGGACCAAACATGTACTAGAATAATCTATGTCCTAAAGAAGCGAAAGCAAAACTAGATAAAACAAAGGCATTCATAGAGTTACTGATATACCTCATACGACATGTTATCGACATCAAGTCTCCAATCCCTGTATTTATCGAGTTGTTCAGATTCTCCTCCCATCAGCAGACTACTTTGGAGCATTACAATCTACAACCAAATGTAATGGAACCATAGGAGCCAAGTCAAATCCAATCTATGAAGTAATACCTATCCACACCACTATTGTAGTAAAGGTCATAATGCTAGATTAATCATTACTGCACGGGGGTGATCATAAGAATCTATATTGTAAATTCGATTTTCAAGGGAATGAATAAGATGTGTATGGTAGAATAGCTCAATATTAGCCACATATGCAGGAAGATTACCCACAGATAGACATTTCTTCTATGCAGATTGGTTTTCTTGAACATTTTCAACATTTCGAGTTATAATTGGCAAATGAAGATTGATGTTAAGTATAGAACTCAAGTCCATAAAAGAAGAACAAAACTGCTTATTTCAAATTGTCAATTATTTAAGATTTCATTCAACTAGACATTCTAGTTTCTAACTCCCAAGAAACAGCGAAGGAGGATATTTTTCTTCATTGAAGAAACTTTGGAAGGAAATATTTAATGTGGTCACACAAAGCACCTAAAATTGTACATAGGTTCTCAAAAAAACTGCTTCAACTTAAAATTCTTAGCTAGTATTAATACCCCTTGAAGTTATTTTCTTCGACAAGAATTGAACCGTTAGTGAGTTTGCCAATAATTTCACTTGAGATCAAAAGGGCCCTTACCTCCCCTTAGTTTTAAATCCAAGTGGGTCGAAATCAGGAGGTTCTTGAAGTAAGTCTTTCAACACCCTCCAATCTATCCTGTTGATTTTAGCTGAAAAGGTACTAATAGGAGTTTGTATTCTCTTGAAATGTTACTAAGCCCCTATTTGACATCTATTAAAATATTTTTATATTTTTTTGGGGGGTGGGGGAAATCAGTTTTGGAATAGTGATTTTTTTTAGAGAATTTGTGGTTAAAAATTTTTATTAAGAAATTTTTTTTATTTCACATGCAAAATATTTTATTATTTGAATGTGTGATTGAAATGAGTTTGAGAATTAAAAAAAAAAAGTTTTAGTTTAATGGATGTCAAACAAGGGCTAAGTATTTTGCTTATATTTAATCTTTCACGATCAAAATGTTAATCAACCTTACCAAATGCCATCTTGGTTCTTACCTAAGACTGTCTAATTGAAGATGATAAACATTTCTTCGTATCTGCTTCAAAATCTTCCTAGTCGACCACAAAGTTCCATGTAGAAGCAGCATGCAAATATGAATCATCTACACTGCCATCCATCCCAGTTTTAGGATAAATCTGCAGAGCAGTCACCAAACTCGACCTCAAGCTAACGAGTTCTAATGGTTTTTCAGTACACTACCCTATGAGAAAAAACTCTACAAGAACTTCAATAGTTGTAGAATGTTAAGAGGAGGAGGAGGAGGAGAGAGTTTGAGTTACATTTTACACCAACTTGAGTGCAGTATATGAACTTTGCAATGAAACCAACAGAGTTGCAGAAAATGATTAATCTAGCTGACTCCAAATTTTTTCGTAATGGGCTTAGATTTTTTTTTTTTTGTTGTTGTAAGTAGGTATATTTTACACAAAATTTGCACTACAAGAAAACACACTACAAAGGTATAAAACCTGCAATTCAAGAGCTTCAACCTAACTAGTCAAATGTAAGACTCCTCTGAGAGCTTCCCATCTCAATATCATAACTTTCTGATCCTTTATCTAGAATACAATTTACGAAGTGGTGATGCGAGGCTAAATTTAATCTTTGATCATAGCAAGATTTCGTGAAATTCAATTCACTCAATAATATGAAAAGAAAATCTAAAATCAAAATGCCCTTAAATTCAATAAATAGGATAAAGCTCCTAGTGGACCTAAGACTAAACGAACCTCTGCAAATTCATCATGGAAACCATGTCTGAGATGGCGATGATATCTAGATCCGGAAATGCTTGCCCTAGAGCGTGTCATTTCCAAGGCAATGCCAGGATCATGGAAAGGGATATCTTCAGAGGTCACCATTCTCCTCATATTATATGAAGAACGCTGAAAATGAACAAATAAATCCAGATTAGTGTATGCATAAAATTACTAACCATATAGTCTGACTGAAAAGTATCAAAGTGGGGTTCAATCTTAACTTCATGAAGCATGTAATCTGTGAAGATCACTTGAAAACAGAAAAATATTCAGCAAACAGAAACTCCAAGAAATAATTGAGGGAAGTCTAAGAAGGACCGGCCTTACAAATTTATTCAACATGTCCATCTCATATGAACAACGAGTTCATTTTTCATTTAAAGCTTGATACGTGCACAATTTTGTAAAAGGGTGGCGGCCAGACTTTAACCAAATCCTTTCCTGCTTTGATACTATCTTCAACCACCCCGTATAAAAGCTTTGGTTATTAGAGAGTGGCATAATATATTCATTTAAATTATATTCAACAAAACCATGGCGGATCAAATTTAGAAAATTGATAAGTCGAATTCATTCTAAAATCTTGGTTCAGCAAATTAAGACGGCAATACACAACATTCTCTGAACTTCATCCCCACAAACAAAATAAAAAAAATAAAAAAAGCTAAAAATTCAAAAATGAAGAAACAGATCATATTCGAAATGATATGATTATAGTGTAAATGTAAAATTACCTCCATCTGACTATGAATAATTCTATCAACCTCATCAGGTTTGCTTCTGGAAGAAACTGCAGGCCTTTTTGAAACAACACAATTCACAGACGCAGCAACCCCGTTGGGCCCAATCCCAGGACCACACAATACATCAGGTACACCCTCACAATTTGATGATACAGCCAACGGCTGTGATGGATTTGATGTTGAGCTATTGTCATTTTTCATGTTATTCGTAGCAATAACTGCAGGATAACTATCAGTGTGCAATTTGTTGTTATTATTATTGTTGATTTTCTTGTTCTTCACCTTTATCCTTTTCACCTTGTCAGCATTCCAATTAGCTGAGGTTCTTATCACTGCAGGAACTGAGACCTTTGAGGAGGCAGTGCAGCCAAGTCCTCTGAATGTTTCTGCCGTGAAGATCTTTTTCTTGGCAGCGGCGGTGGTGGTGGAGGAGGAGGGGAGGTGGTTTTGGCTTCTGAGCTTTCTATATTTAGTGTGTTCTGCCATTGCTGAGGTGTCTGCAACCTCCGCAGCCATGGTGGTGCAGTCTTGAGAGAAATATCAAGTTTTATGTGAGTTGTTGAGAGATAAAGAGATTATGGAGAATGAATTGTGCGTGAAAACTAACAAATTTCAAGAATGGAATTTTGTGAATTTGAAGAGTAATACTTCTGAAGGAATCTGTGTGAGAGTGGGTGGAGTAGGGTGGGGTGGGGTGGAATTTAGGTATGTTCTTGACTTGTGAAGTGATAATGGAATTCTTGAATAAAAAAAGCGAGAATCGTCGACAAATTATTTTTTAGCATTTTTAAAATATAAATTTTTTTTATAAGATCGATATATGTACTTAAAATTATGTCATCATAAGCAAACACAATGAACAATAAGAACAAAGGAGGGCGCGTGCCTAGAAAGGGATAAGATATGTCACGAGCGATTGTAATTTTATGGCTCGACAAATTCAACGATATGGTATAAGATTCGTAAAGTAGTCATATGACAAAAGCAAAAATTTCACGAGTTAAGAAGATTTTGACGTGATAGTTTAACCGATCACGCGTAATTTTTATTTTCTCTTATACAAGATTTTATTTTTTATTTTTTATTTTTATATTAACACTATGGCAAAGTGTGCTTAATTGGTGGGAAAAAAAAGGTGGAGGAATAATAGTGTGGTATATATTCCCCTATGCAATGCACCTTGAAAATGTCGGTACGTCGAAAATTATAGTTGGGATCCATAACGTGTTGAAAATGTCGTATGTCGGTACCTAACCTATTATTTTAGCAGTTACAGTCTCCAAACTTTACTTTTGTAGCATTCAAGTCCTAAATAAACAATTTTACCTATATCTTTGATTAAAACTCAATTTTCTATTAGAAGAGGAGTTTATCTTTATATTAATTTAAATTAAAAAAATTAATTAAATTCAAAATTCAAAAATTCTTATCTTTTATTTTAATAAACAATTTCACCTTTATCTTTGAATAAAAATCTTTTTTTCTTTTTTACTAGAAGAGGAGTTTATCCGCATACTAATTTAAAGTAAAAAAATAAAATAAATTAGAAAATGAAAAATGCCTTTCTTTTACGTTATTTTACTTTTCACTTTTATTTTTTTAAAACAAGCATAACGTTAAAGTTGTATTTTAAAAAAAATGAATTTTCGAATACAAGGATAAAATTGTCGATTGGAGGAGATCTACATATTACGAAAATGAAATATTTAGGACTAAGGCTGCTAAAGTATTAGGTTTGGGGCCTTCTTCCTACAATTTCAATAAATTGAGGACTCCATCTAGAAATTCCCCCATTCTTTATTTTTGGTGGATGGAGCATATTATCATTTTGAATGAATTGGTTAGGTGGGGTCTGTTTTGTCTTCTTGCATCCAACTTGGGTGGCAGGTGGCTAAATGAAACACTGTTTACGTATATTTATTTTTATTTTTATTTAGTTTATTATTACTTTGAAAATTAGAGATTACGATTTTGTCCGTAACAAGTCTATGTATTTGAAATCAACTCTAGTCCTATCTTTCAACTTCACCTAATGTTTCAACTCGAGTCAATAATTCTTAATTCAAGAAGCAAAGGAGATAAAAACCACGTTTTTTTCCGATTTGAGAATATCGTCCAAGAACTATTTATTGACTTTAATCTTAGAGCCTGTTTGTCTACCATTATTGGTAGAGAAATGGAGTAATGAATAATATTTTTTGGAGAATGTGTAGTTGAAATTTAAAGTAACTTTATTAGGTTGTGTGTGGAATATTTTTTTTTTTTTATATCCAGGTATCCTCGTTTACACCAGACTATGTATTGGACCACCTATCCCCGACCCCTCAGTGATGGGTGGAGGTTAACCGCGGGATATGCCCAAGTTGACCAGGGTCTGTGCACTTAATATACTCCTGACTCCAAGAGAGTCTTTCTTCATGGATATTACATCACCAACCTGCTCCACCCAAATTGAGTATTACAACGCTCAGTTGCTCCATCCAGGAATAGAACTCCCCACCCTGAGGTTGCAAGCCCAGCAGTGCCCATCATTTGCCAACTTGGATGTGCCCCGGGGGACTGTGTGTGAAATTTTTTATTAAGTGAATATGTGGTTGAGATTGTTTATTGTAGAAAACAATGTTTATAAAAATGGTAGACAAACATAGGCTTAATCGCTACTTTCAGGAGCAATAATGATAATCAGAAAACAAGAAAATTAGACGCAGAATAATTATAGTGATTCACCCTTGATGTAAAAGCTACATTCACTGATCGATGTAAATCCTCACTATAACGGAGAAAATGAACATGCAATTTTTTCCTTGCAACTTTTACGCAAAAATGGCATCGTAGTAAATCTTTCAAATAACATGAATATTAAGTTAATTCGTAGTCAAGGAGATAAGTGTACAACTGAATTAGATTATCTTTGAAGTGATTCTCAACGAGGAATCATGGGATAGCAGCTTAGGATTACAAGTTTGCAATAAGTAGGATTTTGCTAGCAAATAGCAATATATGTAAGTATATATGATCTAATGAGTGGGACCATGAAACTATACTTTTCTTCAACACTCTAATTGATAGTATAATTTGTGTCTGCATTCAATTTATTTATAGACTCATATTTCACAATCAAATAATTTTTCCTTTCCTTTGCTACAAGTTTCTTTTGTTAATTTTAAGGGTACCACATTTAAGTTTATTTGTTTAAGAGCATGATGTAAATTTTTTTAGAATAAATTTTGTGAAAAATGATTTTTTTTTTTTAATAGAATATGTAATTAAAAAGTATGAAAAAAATTATAGGTTCACGTGCAAAATTATTTTATTAAAAATACGTGCTTTTCAATGAATTATGCCACTTTGCCAAAATGATTTTGACAGATGCAACAACAGAATTGTAGGTGACAATAGATAATTGGATAAAAAAATTGACTGTATTTTAAGTAGTCCAATGATAGAATGTCATGTGACATTATGTCAATTTTTCTGTCAACCTATCTGACACTATAGCATGATTGTTTTTCAATAGATTATGTCACTTTGTAAGAAGGATTTTGACAGATGCAGTAACAGAATTGTAGGTAACAGTAGATGATTTGATGAAAAAAACTAACTATATTTTAAACAGTCCAATAATATAATGTCATGTGTTATTATGTCAATCTTTTTGTCAACCTATCTGACACTATAGCATGATTGTTTTTCAACTATGGTTTTAAGGCTACTGGGCCGTCCTCTCCGCTCCTTCAACTAGTCCCCATGTACAAAAATATGATCCACCTAATCAATATTTCTCTTTTTTAGTAGGAGTAGAGAGAGAGAGAGAGGTATCAATACTTGAACTCTTGACCTAAGATCTGAAAATATCAACACCTAGTCTGTCGGAACAATGAGAATTAGTGGCAAGACGTTAAAGAAATATAATCGTAAACTCATCAACTACATTAAAACAAAATAAGACGAGTGACCAAATAACTGAAAGTTGAGTAAACATAACGACATTAAATTTAAACGAAAAAAAAAAAAAAAGAGGTGTAACTAAAGTTGTTGATGAGACCCCTAAAGAGAAAAAGCAAAATTGTTTACTTGATTCATAAGGCGTGATGACAGTTTTCAATGTAATGACTAATAATCATCACTTCACAATGTAAATAAATCCTCTTGAATTGAGACATTACATTAAAATTTCGACATCAAATTATGAGTTTTTTTACATGTTCAATGACTCAAAATCTCCAAATCAAATGAAAAGTAGTCAGTGGCTTGTGACTTAATCATGTACTTCATGAAATCTCATTTCTGTAGTGAGATTGTAGTGAAATTGTTGTTTGTAATTGACAGAGTGAATAGCAAGTTTAATTCACAAGAACATAATTAAACTTAATATGGAATAAAAAAACAAAAAAAGAAATGAAGGAGAGTGAAAAACGAAAGAAAAATTCGAGGCGATAAAAAACTTTCTCCTTAAGACAAAATTGTCCAATAACGGTACTAACGGATTACAACACTTATCTACTAAGATACAACGAATACAATTTGTAGTATAAACACTTCAAACCACAAAGCGAACTTGAACAATTTTTTCTTCTCTCTGCAAGAAAATAACTTTTGGAATGATTTTTTGATAGATTTTGCAAGAGATTTTGATGCAAGACTCAATGCAAAATGATATTGGATGCATAATGGACGTCCAAATGATCATATTTATAAAATGTGAGAGATTGTGAGTGAAGATATATGCTCCAAAACTCAGCAACCTTCATGAAGAGACGTATCCCTTGCTTTCGATGGCCTCTTGCTCGAGTGCTAGTAACACCTTTCAATAGAAACTTTTTGTCCACCTACCACTAGCCGATCGCTTGAGCGGTAGCTTTGCCACTAGCTGGGCGCTAGCCTGCTGCTCAAGCAGCGGTGTTAGTTGATTTTGCCTATTTTTCTTCCAACTTTACACCGTAATTTCTTATTTATCCGAAATAGGTTTTGAAATTCCAAATATATTTAAACGATGTACTCAACGAGTAGAACTAGTTAGTCTATTTATCTTTATAATTTGAATATCGGATCAAATTCGAATATTTGACCAAAGTCTACACAAAGTTACTTTTGAAGTTTATGCTTAACCAAAATTTTCAATCTTTAAACAAAATCCAACATATATTTCTAATTTTCTTTCATTCATTATTGCTCTCGATATTTCTGTTAGAACTTAATCTTTTAATGCACTTACGGTCAATCCACTGTAAACCAGGTTCAAGTGCATGTTTCATTGAATCTTGTTTTCTCCATCAACCCTTTACTAAAGGAGACTGTCTTATTCTATGCATCATTGCCTCCCAATGAAACAGAGAAAAAGAATTCATATTTTGCTTAAACTTTTGCACAGAATACAGATGTTTGATTTCATCTTGACAAGGTTTTATTTGAATTTATTCTCTTTCATAGAATATTTCCTAGAACCTTGACCTCAAACTTTTTGTACTATCTGTTAATTTTACTAGCAAGATCATCCACTTCAAAAAACGGAAATA